GTTTCTAGGTGATATCGTCATTTTTGCGAATCGGAGATTGCTGGCCGCAAATACTACACAGTTAAGCGGATTGATAAATGGACAGACGGACATGTTCAGGAGCTTTCAAAATTTGCAAGTGACCAAGAATGCCACTTTGAAGTTTGTTCCTACGTCTTATAAAGGGATTTAAAAAAAAATTGAAATTTGATACACTCCAATGTCGGGTAGGCTTGATCAGCTGTTTCCATTTTTGTGTAGGTTCACAATTTTCCATATTTATCTGCTATAGTTTATAAGTAATGGGCAAAACACCAAGTTTTCATTCCCTTTGAAAAGCACAGATGTTCTCAGTTTACGTCGTGCTGTGGGCTTTTCTCTTCCTTCCATCAATTTGATCCATTTTGAAAACCAAAACGCGCGCAAAAACGTTCAATGTTTCTGTCACATTTCCTGCGTCTTTTGCAGTTAAATAAGGTAGCTAATATTAACAATAGATTAGTCCATCTTTAAAGTATTTTAGGCTGAACCTTTTGTGGTTCCTGAGGAAGGCCACCATTCCCCTATGTTTTTTTTAAGTCAGCGGCACGCTCACCTATAACTCGGGCAAGCTAACTCCATTCAAATATAAATACGTGTTCAGTCACGCCATTTATAATTCACTTAGATATTCGTCCGAAAAAATCCGGTGTGCGGGATCCGGTCGAACAATAGAGTGTAGTAGGTTCTGTAAAACGTACGAACTTAATGCATCAGTAGTTGATTACTTGTAGGACAAGACGTTAATTTTATTCTCTAAAGACTAAATTTTATTCTGGCTATATGCGAAATACGGGAAGTCAATTGCTTATCGATGAGTTGTCATACATGACCAACTTTTCAATGTCCATTACCAATCTCTCCAAAAATGTCTTAATTTCATCTCGTTTCAACAGCGATTCGCCGATTGAAATCCAATCCTTTAGAAATAGAACTAACTTTCTCCTTATGCAAATAGTTCGAAACAGTCTTCGGCGACTGTTGCCACGTAACTTTGTACATAAAAATGTTTCTCTTTTCGTTTTTATTAAATATTGAGTAAATATTGTGAATATAAAAATATATGTTTGAATTCCTTATTTCGCAATACTATAAATTTAATTATGAGAAAACTACATCATGGGCAAATTGGCCTTTAATGCATTAATTTCTTTATGTTCTAAGGGTTTAATATTTGTACCGGAGTATGGTGAGAAATGCTCCAAGTCACGATGTTTATTCACCAAAATCTTTTGATCCGATTGCAGTATCTGTATTTCGCGCTCTATTTGCAACTGATCTAAAATTGAAAACCACCTTTTTAATAAATTGTTGAGAACATTTGTTACCTCGTTAATAATTCTACCATTTTTTAGAAGACCCAAGGCTTTTTCACGAGGCATTTTTAATAGCATGCTACCCACTGTTATCCATATTTTTGTCTCTTCTTTATCTTCGGGATTTTTCTGAACCTCCCTTATAGCTTCTCGATTCTGTTGGCGTCGTTTATCCAGAGCGATTAGCTCTTGCTTATTCATCAAAATTTTATCAGCTATCTCTTCAGTCGATTTAATAATTTCCAAGCACTTTTGTTCATCATTTTTGGACATTTTTAAATTGTTTTTTAACTAAAACTTATTAAAAATAGATAAAAATGTATTAAGCTTAGCTTAGATTTATTTTCTTTGAAGAGGACAGGGCAACTACATCCCTTTGATGAGCTTTAAACTTTAGCTTAACTCATGGCGTAATCGTTTTTCATGTTTCCGCTCTCTCTGTCTTTCTTTACGAATATCGTTACGATTGCGAGGTTTATCTTTGCCATGAGGTTTCTTACTGTAGTAATCGGAATTGTGTCTGCGCACGGCCTCTCTGTCGAAGGCTTGAAAATGTGTCACTCGCGCCACTTGCTGTTCAACACCAAGACCAGAGCGTCGTTTACGTATAACAGTCTTCACAGGATATAAGCGTCCATTCTGAGACGGTCCTAACCCGCTTTCTTTATCCCAACCTTGTTTAACCATCAATTGCAAGCCTTTATTGCGCGAAGGTATATTAAATTTCTGTAATTTATTTAAAGGAAGGGACGATCGAACATTAAATTGATGAACAGTAGAAGTATAATGTTGTCTTGGAGCCGTCTCCATAAAAGTTTGCTTGCATTCAGAACAATAGAATGGTTTCAATGGTTTCTGCTTATAAGAAATAGGGACTTTATCCTGGTCTGCTTGGCAATCTGGACTAGTCGGATTTTCCAATAATTCCGCAATATGATAAAAACCCTTTTTCAATGCTAAATCTTTAGCAGTACGCTGAGATTTATCTTTAATTGCACGGTTAGCACCTAGACGCAATAGTACTTTTACAGCTTCTGTAGCGCCAGCACATGCTGACATCATCAGACCCGACCAGCCATAATTATCTAAAGTGTTTATATCGTTGTCCTTATAACTAATTTGTAATAACTTCTCTGCCTTATTTTCAGTAGCATAACAATGGAATCTTTGCTTATCAAAGTTTTCTTGAGGTGTATTATGGTATTCCGTTTTAATGGGCGCGTTTTCCTGCTTGTAATTCTTCGAAATTTTTATATTTTTCTCAATTACTTGCTTATAAAATTGTTCGATTTCTTCACCATTGAATTTGTCTAACTCGCGTTTTTCATCAATCACAAGCTGATTATCCTTTATTATGCAACCTTCAGGAATGAATCTTTTCATTGGTATATTCAATGTAGCTAAAGCTCGCCAATTAGGATGCAGTTGCTCTGCCTGTGGTTCCATTTTTGTCCATAAATTTCTAAAACTTTTTCCGTTTTCTTTTATAATAACTATTTTTAGCAACTTTTTACTTTCGTATCTAAATCTGTTTTATGCGGCGTTGCCATATTGCATTTACAAGCATAGTGAAATTCAAGAAGACTTTTCATGTTTCAACCAAATCCTTACATCAATTATAATTTTGCTTTCTTCAAGCGACTTCTCTTACTTAGTTGCTAGTATTATATAGTAAACATATGTTTATTAAAAAAAAGAACAACGCAAAAACTTGTTCCAAAAATTTCTTTTATTATAAATAATCCATGTGCTCCACTTTTTTTTATAAATTCGCAAATTGTTCACAATATATTGCTATTGTATATTTCACTTGTTGCGAATGTTCTTTGTTCTTTTGCTTCTTCTTTTTCTTCTAAGCATTTTACAATTCTTCTTTTTGTGCATTTTGTCCAAAAGTGCCGGCATATTCTTTATTTTCTATTGTTACACCTTTGCAACGTTCTTGTTGTATTAGGAAATCCTTGGCTTCCCAAGCTTGCGAACCATCCTTAAATAGGAATATAGCGCGGTCATCATCGACCATATAACGTTCTGCTTGTATGTGATTATTCCATAAACCACTTTGCCATAATTTCGTGATTGTTTCAGCCTCTTCCCTTGTCGGATTTCCACTTACTGAGACAAATGTCATTAATGTTCGTCCCTTTTTAGAAGACTTAAGTAAATCTTCTGGATTGCCTGTATTTAATTTAGACAGATCTATTTGTGGCGGCACTCTCAAATGTTCCGGTAATTCATCCGGCTCAAGCGGCTCTTCATCTTCCTATAAATTTTATAACCATTAAATAGGATATGATATTTTTTTCAATGCAATCTTTTACCTCCCATTGTTCCAATAACCTTTCCATATCTGCATCTGAAAAGTCACGTAAATCTTTCTTAGCCCAATTTGGCTTTTCATTTTCCTTAAATTTCTTTGAGTAAGTTGTTGGACTTAAAGTTAATATAAAAACAAAATATACAAAAAGCATTGGTTTTTTTACAATTTCCGATACTTTGTGCTTAACTAATAAGACAGGTACAAAGAAAGTGGAGAAACGTATTGTTTATGAAGACACATACACGTCACAGTGTTTCAGCTTTACATACGTTCGTCATTCACAATTATTTTGTACAAGTCACATTTTCATTGGTCACAATAAAGGAAAAAATCTAACTTGGAAAGCTATCTGCAGATTAGATTAAGAAAATCTACCACTGTATGGGAGCTGATAAATTGAAGCTTCGCCTATATTCCCTGAGTTGGTAGAAGTATTTAAATTATAAATTTTTCATAAAATGAAAGATAAATTTAGTTTATAAATGTTTACACATATATTCTTTAAACGTGTATATATATGTTACACACATAAACAAATTTACAAATTAAATCTGTTTCCTAGACCTTCGAATACAAACACAAGAAAGGTTTGTTTTAAAGAAAGGAGTTGAGTTGTTTTTGTGTCTAGTCGATTTGGATGTAAAAGTACTTGGGCTTGCAGTGGACGCAGACATGCTTTACATTAATGTGCGCTAAAATTAGGTCCTCAATCAAGGGGCAGACACGCAACGATCAAAACAGTACTAAACCAAGTAACATCCCTAACAATTCGAATACGGAAAGCATTTGGTCACCCCAACTGAATTGTCAGCTGATCAGTTCCTAAGAAATCTTAGTAAGAAATGAATTCATAAGGGATTTTATTACATTTTTAAATTTCAAATAAATCTGTGAAATTGTTAAAAAAGAAATTCACTAAGAATAGTGATTTTTAATGCTTTAATTCCAATAAATAAATGTGGTTAAATAATAGAAATGCATGAAAATTTGCGTGTATGATGTCATCTTAAAAAGTTTTAAAAGAACAAATTTTTGTTTGAATTTTCTATTTTGTGTTTGTATGTAAAAGAAATAAACTTCGTAAAAACAAAACAGAAATAACGAAGGAAGATAAAAAGAAACTTAAGAAAAATAAAAGTAATATCGTGTAAATTGTTGTTGTTTTTAGCGGTAAATGTGTCACTGTATTTCTGTAAGGGCCCAAAAATCAATAGATAATTGTGCTTTAAAAGAAGCGGAGGGCAGTTCTGTGATTTAAGTTGTTTACTTTTTAAAAAATACTTTAACATGGTTTTCGAATCCATTGTAACCGATTTAATCAATCGGTTTTTGGGACAGTTTGTTGAAAATATGGACAACAAACAATTAAGAATCGGCATATGGAGTGGTGAGTATATGCTGGCATTAATCAAAAATTTTCGTATATGTTGAAGCACGTTTGACTTACTTTACTTTTTCGGTCATAGCTTTTGTCCTTGGATATACAATTTGTTTAGTCATCGCATTTTCATTTATCTAACAATCCTAACTCATAAAATGGAATTGTTCAACACAAAAAGTTTTTTATAATATATATATAGAATACCAAAATAGCTTCTAAAGTTTCATTTATGTGCACTTTCACAATTTAATTTTACTGCAAATACTCTGCAAATACTCTACTCTATGATTGTAAGCAATCACGCCAAGAGTGTGCTCAGCTTTCCGTTCTTCGATGGATAATATTGCCGAACAAGCCACGTACATATAAAAAGCAAGTGAAAGGAATATTTTCTTAATTCTTCACTTTGGCCAAAATGTCGGCAGGAAGAAACAATCGAATAATATCACAGATTATTCAAATGAATTAATCACAATGAAAGCGACGCTTTTGTTCTCGAACAGTTTTATTTATTTGACAAAATATATACATGCTTTAAAACAGTAACCAGGGCATAACGAAACCTTACAAACGACCATTATACAACGACAAATGACAATAAGAGATATCAACAGATTGGATTTTAAGTAGGGAAACAATTAAGAAAGCATTCGTAAAGGCGAGGCTTGGATATCTGCCATGCCAAGATGAATTATTACTTGATTATAACTTAGTTGGAATTTTGCATTGAAAAGCGATTAAGCAATTATTTACTTTTATATTCTTATAATTTGAGTTTTTAGAAAAGCAACAGTGTCATAACGTTCGGATATATAATAAACTAGGCGAAATTGTATCAAACACTTATTAGAAGGTCCTGAATGGAAACTGATTAGTATCAAGTTTCTCTAAAGCAAAATGAATTACAAGTCAATCCATTCCAAAAATATTGGCGACAAGGTCACGAATGAGGCATGTGCTTGTTTCGAGCCATCTTTTTTATATTCAATGCATTTACCATCCTGCTTTTAGCAGACTTTTTCCCCGCTTCACGACGAACGAAGCTATTTGCGATTGTATAGTTTGAAATTGTTTTTTGTTGTATACTTAGAAATTCTTATTTGCTCTTCTTTTTCTTTCTTTTGTGGAAGAACGTGTTATCGTAGGTTTTGTTGTCAAGACGCAAGGATTATGAAAAATAGTTCTTGAATTGAATGGCGTTTATGCCATAGCAAAAATCAATAAATGATCGTTCTGATTGAATATCGTTATAGTAAGCTATTTCTAGCACGCCCATGAACATCGGAGAAGAATTTGCGGAAAACAGACGTTTTCATCTACACCAAACAACAATAAAAGATAACGAATGGTCATATCTTTTGTAAAAGACTACTATGTACTACCTTCTCTCGAGATTCATGAAAGGCCACTTCTGGAACAAAATCCGTAAAAAAAATTTATAAACATTCTCGAACACTGATCACGGACTATCGCAAGTTCCTTAAAAAACTCGCAATACTTTTGAAAAGAACGCGAAGGCTTGGCCAATATATTCAGATATTTCGAAGAACGCTTGTGTTGGCGGTTGAACGTTACTATCGTATATTTTTTCAGAGGTTTTGATGAACATCGAGAAATAGTTCTTGATGCAAATTAATTTTTAGGAAAAATCTGCAAACAATAAATAATTTAATTTAATAATAGTTAATTATTAAATTTAATTAGTTAATCAATTAATTCTAATTAATTATTAACTAAATAATCATGTCCAAACAAAAATGTGAGCAGCACGAGTAAGCGAAATTGATTAATTAATTAATTTTTTCAAGATTAAAGAATTTAATTTTATTCAAAGGGAAGAGACCGGCAAACAAACTCAAACTTAAGAAACATAAACTAAATTAAAATAAATAAGCTAATCGTGCCAGCAATTTTATAGTTTGCAAAGCTAAAGCAGATTAGTAGGAACTTCTCGACTCTGCATCTATTAAAGCTGCAGCAGTTCAGGGATGATTTTTATGCTGCATATCATTTGCGGCACAGGGTATACTAAATCCGTTTAGAGCCATGTAACAACACGGATGATCGATTTGAAATTATTTCGCGAATTGGCTTAAGCTCGTCTGTCCGTTTGTCTACTAAATATATTGATGAAATTTGGTACCAAACGCATAAGTTATTGAAAAACATTTAGACTGAAGCAACGCTATTTCCCACATAACGTCTTATTTCGAAAAAGTTGTTATAAAAAAAAAATTGCCAATTTTCAATCTTCGTCAATACATAATAACTCGACATATTAAATTGACGTGATAAAATCGAGATGGATGGATGGGCTGCGTTTTTGATCGTTAATATGAAAAGTAAGCCTTCACATGGCAGGACTCTGTAATTTTTTATATTTTATAGAAACAATTAACTCTTAATTAGCAAGCGGCATAAAAATTAATTGTACCACGGGCTCTCATGAAAGCTAAGAGTTCACGTAGAAACAAATCGTGATATTTTATATTTTACCGGAAAAATAAGTGAAGTGTGTTATTAGACAACGTGATGTGCAGGATGGCCGGTCTTGCCCGACTGTAATGTTTTTGTTTGTTTATTAACAAGAAAATGCTTTCAAAAAATAATGAATGAATTTATAATGAATTTTAATGAATTCATAAAAACAATAATAAATATATATATATATATATATATAGATGTGAAGAACATAGTTATCTGTAAGTAATATGCTTATTATATGGAAAGAATATTTACTTTTGCACAATAAGTGCACTTATTCACCCACTCGTACTTGTTTTATTTATATTCACTAGTAGTCATCTAAATATGCGAGGGTTATTCGGTAAGGTAGGAAAACATTTTTTTTTTTTAACCCATTTCCATAAAAAAGCTCTTTACGTTGGTCCGCCAATAAACAAACCTACATCAACTAACAGTTACGCATACAATTTCGAAACATTTCGAAATTAGCCGTTATATGAGAAATGGTCGAAAAAGTGCTCAGATCCGAATGCTTTTCAAAAGGCTTTGATGTATCAAAATTCTTCAAAAAAAAATTGCGGGCTTTATATTGAACTTGTGAAAATACTAAACAAGACAGACGAACAGGCAAGATTAGATCGATTCAGCATGATTTTTGGTGGATATCTCAAGTCCATCTCGGTGTTGCATACATCCGCATGTTGCATGTCCTTATAAGCGCTGCAATAAATGAAAAATGACTCTCTCTCTCTTAGCTATAAAACTTATCATATTACCCTCGTACAAGCGAATGTGTGTGCACGGGGATTACTCGAAAACACTCTGAATTCTTTATATTGAATATCAACATTTGCGCACGTATTATCGCTCGCAATGAAAAACAATATATAAACATATGTAAGTATAACTAAATAGACATCGTATGTACACTGGGAATGTATGGCTAAATGTTTGCATAAAATTTTTCCCAAAATTAACTACACGCAAATAATTCTCATTACATATCTCATGATATCACTCAATAGATATTTCAAAGTGTATTTATTGCATTATTTCTCTCAGTGTATAAAGTTTCACACATAATGTGTTACATTCTCTGTGTGCTAGTAGCGTGGTCATGGCAAAAGAAAAACAAAAAAAAAAACAAGACATTAAGAAGGTGATAAAATTGGCTCATTAAATAAAACACTTCTCTTTTCCATATCTATTCTTAGGGGAGGGGAGGGAGCGTTGTATACAAGATTCGTTAAATGCTTTTGAAGCATAGAAATGTGCATCGAAAATCTCGTATGAATATTTATAAAGTCTTAGTAGATAATGTAATCGATTTAAAATGTCCGTATGTCCGTCAGTTTGCTGCAATCACTGTGCCACTCTTTATCTATTATTTCTTTATTATTACACTCGTAGAGGGGACATCCCGAGTAATCACAATAAAACAAAACTTCCGGTTCTCTTTAACGCATATTTGAAGATAATCGCGTTATCATTTTTGGTTGCTCTTCATTTCAGGTGATATTGTTCTGCACAATTTGAAGGTAAAAGATGGGGCACTGGATGAATTTGAGTTACCCGTTAATTTGCTGCACGGCTACTTAGGTAAATTGGTATTAAAAATTCCCTGGAAAAATCTGTACAGTCAGCCGATAGTAGCACAAGTAGAAGAGGTTTATTTATTAATTTCACCTAGACGTATGGTCAAATATAATGCGGAAAAAGAAGCAGCTGCCGAGCTAGCGTACAAACAGAAAACATTACATGCCGTTGATGAGGCATACCGGGCAGAGCAACAAAAAGGTAGCGCTTAAGAAGGTTTAATGTGGAAAGTATTATTTATTTGTTTTCCTAACAATTTCATTATTTATTTCAAGCTACCCGCAAAATGGATCCAACACTGGTGGAGAAATTGACGGCTCGGATAGTTAATAATGTGCAAGTGAAAGTATCAAATATTCATGTAAGATATGAGGATACAATAACCGCAAAGCTACCCTTCGCCTTTGGATTCACTCTACACAATTTGGAAATATTCACCACCGATGAAAATTGGGAAAAATGCTTTATAACTGAGGTAGTTAGTCAAGTTTTTAAATTGGCGACATTGGATAGTATTGCGGTATATATGAATTGCCAAGCTCTCACATTCACTTCGCGTACTTATCAGGAAAGAGTAGAATTATTTCGCGAGACTATAGCCCGCAAAGATATGGTGCCTAAGTTTTATACCTATGGTAAGAAAGTCGATATTTTTTTAAAGCCCATTACAACTGCTATTTGTATTTCCGAAATAATCAATAGTTTTGGGTCCAATTTCGGCTATGGCACAATTACGATTGAATTTAAGTCCTGCTCAGGATGATCCACCATTTGTTATTCCCAAAATTAGGTTAGACTTGGGTATTGAGAAATTAGCTGTGGGAATAACAAGCACTCAATATTTAAATCTTATGAGCCTTTTGGATGTCCTAGGTCGTATGTTAGCAGGCGCTCCATATCGTAAATTTCGTCCCTACAATACGCGTAAGTGAAAACAAATTTTTGAGCTTATCTTCTGAATAGAAAGTCACTTTTTCAATGTTGATTTCTTTCAGCTATCAAAGGCAATGCTAAAGTATGGTGGAAATTTGCTATAACTTCCGTATTGGAGGAGCAAGTACGTAAAAAACAACGTGTATGGTCTTGGGCATATATTAAAGAACATCGAAAAATTTCTAAACTCTATTATGAGGTATGTTATCAATTAAAATGGATTACATTACAAAATCATATCACAACATTGCGAGGTAATTATATAAATACCTATACTGATATTCTCTCTGCAATTCTGGGTAAACTCAATTAAGGCAAGTCCGAAGGAAAGATCTGGAAACGGGTACAAACATTTAGTTTTGCTCGAAAAAATCCTATACCAAAGCTTGCAGCTTACAGCTAGCTTACCTTCCATAAGAAATAAATCACTGCTATAAGTGTTAAAGATATGGAAATCTATTTAAATAAGGAGGAAGTTCTATTTTACATGGTCTGAATTTTCTTTTAAAAATATAATATCTAATCACATTGAAATTTTCTTTTATAATTGGCGTAGAGGCATTTGCCAGGGTTTTAAAATTAACGAGGATTGCCGAGGATAAAAAAAAATGTTCAGGTCAAAGTTTTCTTTTCTGGACAAAGTTTGTGTATGTGATTTCAAAAGGATATGTTTCGCTAAATGCAAGTTGATTGACCAGATATAAATTTGCCTTATGATATGGGGAACAATTTCTTTGCCTAGTCTACGGTTTAGAGGTGACTCTTAAAGATGTTTATAAAAACCAATCTTATTAGTGATTTGTTTTTATTTATTAATTCATTTAGACATGGAATTCAGCTGCAATAAAATGAGTTAATATTTGTACGCTGTATTACTTGCGGTACAAAAATGTATTAAGTTTATGCGCCCATTTACAATAGCCACAAGGACTTGATATAGACTCAGCTTTTATTATACCGATCGATTCAGTGGGCCTTGCTCCACTATAATAGTTTAGTTAGTAGGCATAAAAATTAGAAAAAATTAAAAAAAAAGGGGTTGATGCACAAACAAAGAAGTGAGTGAAGAAAATTATGTAGACATCTGGTTGGGAGGTACAGTTGCAACCATTGTGGATGCGTGATGGAACTATGCCAATAATCTGGTGCAAGCATGCAAAAGCTTGAAACCGATAGTAGTAAAAATATTAAGTTTATATAAAGTATTGAGTTAAAAATATAAAAAGTACATAAGAAGTCCGATTGTGAGGTTAAACTATAAATGTCGTGTAGGTCCTTTGCAAAGGACTTTAAACGGGTTGAAAGCTCATATGTAAGAAGAGCGGTTAGGCATATTAAACTTTGTCTCATCTGAAAAAACCCGTGAGTGAATAACAATTGTTAACTAAACTAAGGAGGAAATATATAGAATAAGCGAATGTTTCATCGGCCAAGGGAAGGTTATAAGCAGCAATCTTTTTTTTGATGAGATGGGAAATTCGTAACGAAATATAGCGACAATTGTGTTCTGTTCAATTAACATAGCGCCTGTAAGAAGGAGACTGCAAAAATAGAGGTATATCCATGCGTTAGTCTTGCCAAGCTGATCTATAGCTTTTTCGTAACGTAAGACCCGTCGATCTCACTGAATCATCGTTTAGTAGAACCTAACAGTGACCTTACCTTCCCGATGACAATCTCTGTATGGAGACTGCAACGTAGTTTTTGATCGACCACAAAACTTATAAAGCAATAGATTGGATAATCTAGATGCATACGCAACATAAATGGTTTAATTCCAAGCGAATTGTGCCATCTTGCAAACAAATGCTCGATTACTTTTTTATATTTTGTGTGTGCGCTTCTTTTTAGGCTCACAAAGAGCGTTGTCTTACTGCAAAGCCACCTCAGGCGTTGTTGGATAGATGCGCAGAGGGTGAAAAACGCTTAGATATGTTCAATTTGATTTTGATACGTAAGACGGTGCATTTAGAGATTGAACGTATGAAAAAAGAAGAGATGCAAAAGAAAGAGGAGAAAAAGAAACAAGGCTGGTTTGGCGGTTGGTATAGAAAAAAAAGTACAGATAGCCCTGCAACTCTCAGTTTAAGTAAGATAAATCTTATGTCTTTATATATTAAATAAAATTAATTTGGGATGATTTTGAATTTCTTTAGAGAAACAACTCCAGTCTGCCCTAACACCGGAAGAAAGAGGAAAACTATTCGATGCTATCGGTTATCAAGAGGATACTGCTCCATTGACACTGCCAGATTATTATGTAGCGGTTATTATGAATTTCCGTTTGAGCAACTTAGAAGTCGGTCTCTACGATGATAGAGATTTTGGTGAAATTTTTGATCGCGATACAATAACACAACATGAAAAGAAAAACGTTTTAGTTTTAAGGTTTTTGGATGTCAGTGCGGGGCTTCAGCAGAGACCGGGGTCCAAAGGATTGAAGTAAGGACAAAACAACATCATATATAAACTATGTATATAATATATACATAATATTTTTTCACATTAAATGTGACTCTTTTCATATTTCTCTTCTTAGTCTGACAGTTGGCATGAAAGAGCTTAAAGTGACGGGCTACACACTAGCAAAAAAACCGCCAACTTTAATCGTTTCGAAAATTGGCAGTAGTACTAACTTATTGGATTTATCGTTCGAGATGAAACCTCTAGATAAATCGTGCGATCAGCGTATACGTTTAGCAATGCGTCCTTTGCAAATAATGTATGATGGTGGAACTATTTTGCAGTTGTTGAAATGCTTTGTACCTGAACCGGACGTCAATCTATCAAAGCTAGAGGGTGCAGCTACATTGAAACTAGCGACTTACAAAAGTCGTTCAGCTACTGGATTGCAATATATGATCGATAGTCACCCCAGACTTGATATCGATATCACTTTCATGCCAAACATTATTATATTACCTATGGGAGGTATTTTCCGACCTGGCAAACAGTCGGCTGTTGTTGTGAGTTTAGGTAAATTACACGTGTCTTCACAACCACATGAACCCTTAGGTGATAATTTGATGAAACTGGATCAAGAAGAAATTATGGAGACATTGATAGCGAAAGCCTATGATGTCTTTAAAGTGACTATCGAGGATGTGCAGGTAGAAGAAAGCCGATTACTTTATTGTAATCTTATTGTATACTTGTGCCTTAATTAGATTTTAGTACCCTTTGCGGATGAAAATTGGGAGAAAATTATAAGACGAGGCTCTAGCGCTCGCATGCATTTATTGCGTCCAACATCTATAATAGTAAATGCCGAAGTGTGTGTGGTGGACAATGATCCCCGCTTGCCGAAAACCCGTGTAAATATTCTCTTACCTGTCATTAATTTGAATTTAGCTGAAGATCGCGTTATCGAAGCAATAAATATTGGGCTTAGTATTCCACAACCGCCCCCGAAAAAGGCTGCACCACCACCACCTAAGTCGCCAACGAAACCTACAACTAAAACTCCGGCTACGAGTGCGTTGAGACGATCAATGGAGGAGCGTCGCTCAATTAAAACTTCTCTGCAAGATGAGGTCATACAATGCACCAATCTCGAGCTTAGCTTTGCTCTTAAAGAGTTCAGCATTACCCTTTTAAGAGCAGTGCCTTCGACGTCGCGTGTCTCTGATACCGCATCTAGTTCGGATAGTACGTTCTACGAAACACCCGAAAACGAAGAAGAAGGTCCACTTGATGCCATCTTTTATGATGCCGATGATCTTATGCTAATTGAGCCTCAGGAAGCAGACGTCAACAAATTGCTTTCGTTTAAAGTTTTACAATTAGAAGTTGAGTTAGCGATGCGCACTTTCGAACTAGCTCTTAAAGCCAAGTAAGTTATTTTGTTTTATACTCGGAGTGTTCTATCAAAATTTTATGTCTACCATATTCCATGGGATGAACAAAATCCACTTGACAAAGACTTTTTTGATAAAATTATACTTTTTCTTAAATGAAACGTACGGAAAGACGGTTAAGCAGAATAAGTTAATTCATAATTGCTCGCCTGTAACATTTCGTGGTGTTCAGTTTAAATCGTTCCAGTTTGAGTCATGAGTTGATCTTGCAATTAAATTGTTTATTGTTTTGTGATTTTTTTTTCTGACTTTTTTACTTGTTTATGTGCTTTTAGCTTGGGAGCGATCAGCCTTATGTCTTATGTCGTGCTTGATCAGAAAGAAAAGGCGATTGTTTTAATTGAAACACCCGGCTTTACGGAAGGTAGACCACTATTGCTTGTCGGCCTTACCATGGTCAATAAAGTCACACCCGATTTTGTTACCAAATATCAGTCCATAGAACAATTAATTAACGTGAATTTCGCTGTGTTAAAAGTAATTCTGCATCAAGAGGATATTTTGCGTTTACTAGAGATTGCTGCTGAACTGCAAGAAAAAATGGGAGAAATTGGGATTAAACCGAAAGAGCAACAAGAAACGCAAGATCGTTCGAATCTAGTAACTGAGGACAATTTAGCAGCGCGTCTAAGTTCATTCACTGAAGAGACCAGACAAATGATGGAAGCATCAGTTCCACGTTCTTCAAAGGTAGCTAAAGTTATTGACAGCATCAAACTAAAATTGGTGGCCAATTTGGAAATGGTCAGTTTAGAATTGACCTGTGAAAAGCGATCCCTAGCTTTGATTAGTGTTAGCACCTTGGATGCTAATGTAATCTTAAAATCGTCTTATACAGAAGTGAAGCTATTTCTGAAGGATATATTGGTGAGGGATACAAATGTTCTTACTAAACATCCGGATTTCTTGAGTATCGTTGGACACGATGCCTTAAATTGCAAAATTGTCTTATACAATCTGGAGGAAACGAAAGATTACAATAAATACGATATGACACTTCGCGTAGAAGTGGGCGGCATGAAAATCGTATTCGTTAATTGGTTTTTAACATCGGTGTTGAGCTTTTTAGCGAATTTCCAAGCAGCCCAACAAGCTATAAAAAAGGCTTCAAAACAAGCCGCAGTTGTAGCCAAAAAGAACGTAATGACGAAGGAGAAGGTGTCTCGTATAAAAATGAATCTATACATAAAAGCCCCGGTTATCATAGTGCCGGTCGATTCGCAAGCCACAAATGCCATTGTTATCGATTTAGGTCATCTGCATATAGCGAATACAGTTAGCGATATTATAGAAGAAGAAGATAAAGCGGAACCGCTTGTTATTGATGATATGAAAATCGCGTTGGAAGATATGCGAGTAACACGCGTTCAGATTTTAGACGAGCATCAAAAAATGATTCTTCAAGAAAAAGGCGAAGATGAAGTTGATTTGAGCTACGGTTTCAAGGCAGGCGTCAATATGATGGAGCGCAGTAACATTAATTTAGGTTTGAAACGAAATTTAACGTTTGGCTGGGTGAAGTCAGCACCTGAAATGGACGTAAGCGGCCATGTGCAACTTCTCGAATTTCGTCTCCTTATGGATGATTATGGCGTGATAATGTCAATACTTAATCGTAATTTGAAAGAAGGAAAAAACGAATTTGCACGCGTTGAAGTAGAAACTGATCAACGACCAAGTATGGCGTCTGCTCCAACCGTTACAACATTACCAACACAAGTCCATGAAGAGCCTGCGACCAAAACTGTAGAGACTGCTAAAGATACCCGTAAGGCGGTTACTGTGAAAAGAAAACGAATTAGCGAACAATTAAAATTCAATATACAAGTAGACGGTTTTGTTTTGCATCTGATGACTCATCCAAAAAGGGGTCTGGCTCGCTTCGGCATATATTATCTATCATTAAAAGGTAGCAAATTGGTGGACAATACATTCACGACCAATATGGTCCTTTGCAACATACAACTGGATGATACGCGCCCGGATACAACGAGTAAAATAACTACTTATATGTGCCGCAAAGACTGGCTTACTGTGGATGTCCCCGACAAACTTATCTCAACGTCTCTCGAAATTATAAGTCATTGCTTGGACAACGATACCTACATGTTAGACGTTACTGTCCTTTTAAAAGAGAACGAGACCATGGTGAAGGCAAAAATATCAAGTTTCGATATAATATTATGCGCAAAATTTTTACTTAAACTGACTGAATTCTTTAAAGTACCGGAAATAGCCGAAGCGGTCACACCAGAAAAAGCCAAGGAAGTTGTTACCCTTCATACTACTTTCGCGAGGGAAAGTGCTATAGCAACCCAATCAAAAAAGTCGGTACAAAAGACACTAAGTAAGACTCATCTGCGGTACAACGAATTATTATTTTTATGAAATTGTCTCTCATTTTACAGCTTTCACAGAGCCGACAACTTCAAGTAAAACACCAAGTACAACGGGTAAGTTACGGTACCGCGAGTTAATATACATACATACATATATATATATATATATATATAAGTATATGTGAAATGTTCTTTCATTTTGTAGCGATCGTAGAAGATACTAAAAAGAGAAAAAGTTCAATTAGTAAGTTGCGAGCTACGCTTAACTATATGATGAATTAATTATTGTAATAATGAAATTATCTTCGATTCTGCAGCGATCACAGAAGTGACGGAGCGACCACACGTAACATCTGCTGCATCGCCACAGCCAGCCCAACGTGAAGGAAATATTAACGTTAGTTTAGTGATAGATGAACCGAGTATAATATTGATAGAATCATTGGATGATATGAACACAAATGCTGTCATTTTCAATGTAAGTGTATATTGCGAAAGAAATCTCAAGAGATAATCGAATCAATTGCTAATAATTATTATCGCAGATGCAAGTGCAACTTAATTTGCGGATTGTGGGTGAGAAACAACTTATAAAGGGTACAGTTGACGGCTTGAAAATGTACTTGTGTTGTTTTTTACCGGAACGTCGTGAAGCTACACGTCATTATATATTGCATCCATGTGTGATATCATTACACGGATCTACTCCGAACGAGGGCGGTCTTCACATTAGTCTTGCTTTCACTGATGTCATCTTGAATGTGTCACCTGCAGCCTTAGAAATTTTCAATAAGATCGGTCAATCAGTTAGTGGCCAAAACGTAACCAAATTGATTAAAAAACACCAGCACCATTTGGAAACCATTTGGAAGCAAAAGAAATTCGAAAGTGGCGATTATTGGTTTACCGAAATGGGTTAGTAAAACATAATTCGATTATATCTTATAAATAATATTCATTTTATTTCATTTCATATATATGTTGGATGTGAAGAGGAAGGTCAAGATGCCGTGTCCTTATTAGAAAAGAAAAGTACTGCACCGGCGAAAAGCGAACGTTGCGTTATAGAAATGCCATGTGTAATTTTGGTTGTCGAATCCGGATTAGGTTATTATACGCATCCGCTTATATCGTTAGATACTCGGTTAAATATAGCTGCTAAAGATTGGAGCTCTAATTTAAACGTTAGCGGTGGCTTAACTTTATCCGTTAACTCCTATAATCAAGCGTTAGCCGTATGGGAACCGGTTGTTGAGCAAAATGAATTATTCGATAAGCGCGGAGAGCGAGTGCTTCAACCTTGGGAGTTAACTTTCAGTTTGTGTACGGAAGAAAGAGTATCGGAGTATGATCCAACTCAAACTGACCGTGTTCAAGTAATTAAAATAATATCTACCGAAATGCTTGAAGCGACAGTAAGCAAAACGTTCATAAAACTTTTGGCCTCCCTAGGAGCGGCCTTCGGCCAAGCTATGGCTACTGACGGCATCGTTAAGCCGGACGTAATAGCGCCGTATATTTGTCAAAATGATAGCGGCTTCGATATAACTATAAATTTTTCAGTGGGTATATTTACACCACATGATTGCCATCTTCCTACTTGGCCCGGTCATCGAACATTAAATAAACCATTAGTGTTTACATTTTTGGACGATAGTCAGGGTCTTGAAGAACGTAATATTAAAAGTTGTGTTGTGCCTAATGGTCATAAAATTTATTTGCGAACTAAAAATCTTGATACGATATCAGTTGCCGAGGAAGAGGAGTATAACATATATGTTAAGGTAAGTAGCGGAAATTGAAAAAAGCAGTGTAATTCTTTCCGTTCTTTCAAATAGATTGGCAACGTCGAGCAAAGTTTAATTTTACCAATGTCCAAAGTCGTTAAACGTTATTTCCCTTTACATCGGGGTGAGTATTTGGAAACTTGGGGCGTCGTTTCAGATGTCACTTCCGAATACGGCTGTACTACCATAAATATTCATGGAGTAGTGAATGTAAGTAACGTGGAGAGAGTACTCTTTGCTTGCAAATTTAATCTATCCTTCTATCTATTTTTCGCAGATTGCAAATCATTTCACAATACCGATCAAAGTGTTTTCAATCCAACCCGATATTCAAGAAATGCTGCAGATAGGCACAGTACCATCCACCGGGGTATTCCACGTACCATTACAAGCCATACATTCAGAAGGAAGATATTTGCATTTTGCTCCTGAGGTAATTTGGAATTTGGTATTTGAGAAGAAAGGATATATGTTTGCCATAAGTGCTAGCAGAAAATTATGTTCCTATTTATTTTTATATTTAGAGTTAACCTAAAAATTTTGCATTATACTCTAATGTAAATCTTTCGCATTTTTAAAAAATGCTTCATTCAGCTTCAAGTTCATCATTTTATTGGTAAATTCCAATCTTGTGTCTGTTGAAAAGATGAAGATATCCCCCTTTGGGTGCGATGAACTGACACATAAGTAGACCTGTGAGAAACTTAAAATAAATATTAAGCCCAAGTGCGTGATCAGAAGCGTTTCATAAAAACTTGTCCTCAATTTGTAGTAAAACTTGGACTCTTTTTTTAAATCCCTATAACGGAGAAACTTGCATATAAATCCATATTTATACAAAAAAAAACAAATCGCATTCATTCAATTAATCCTTGCTTGCAAATCCAGAGATCTATTAAAGTCTGTCTGCCTTGTATTATCTAGTCTAAAGTAAATATATTTTTTTCTTTTACGTCTCTTTAAAGTCTTACGAAGTTTCAAAGAAGGGAGTTAAATGGGATAATTTTCCTACAGATTTCAAGTACATGCGTCATATAAACTGCGAATCGAAGTATACATTCGAACCGTTTTACATTAATATAAATCGTGAAAAAACCGAAATTTATTATGAACTGACGAACAAATATAAAATACCTAGTGTTTGTTATACGTTCCATTTGAGACCACCAATGTATTTGCGTAATGCTCTACCTATTAACATAAGCGTTTCGGTAGCCGGTTGCGCTCGCAATCGTGCCATTAGCGATACCATTTCCGAGCGTACGCACAGTAGCGACATTAGTCAAAGAGAGCAAGACACACCAAAGAATTCACATCCAGGAACGCCAATAACATCTCCAAAACCACCTCAACCGACAATGTCGCCGCCAACGCGCCAATCACCGATGCGGGAACAATTGCAAACTGATATCATGAAAATGCTACCTAGTGACGATCCAACCGGTTTAACGAGATCGGTTATGCAGAATACTTCACCGTTGACGTCAGCAGCAGGTTCAACAAGTGAGACAACTCAATCGAGCGACATTTCGATTGTGAATCCCCCTGCTAATGCTGGTCGAAGCCTTAATTTGGACGATGACTCTGACGATGACATGAATCTTGGCGAACAGGAGGTAGAAGTTGGTAACCTGCTGCATTTGCCAACAATACAAATTCGCGGACGATCCAAATATCCTGGAAATTATTTGGTTATAAGGGTAACGAACAATGGGAAACGAAAAGCGCCAATGAAATGTTTTCAACTTTTCTTTCATATTTCAGATGATACAATATTTGGAAAAAGACTGGTCCTGCACTACAGAAATTCCGGACAATCGTCCACAATTTACGTCGTGGAAATTTCATTCCTACGATTCGGAAAGTCCTATGGCTCTAGATTTGTATGTAAGGTAATTTCTCAGTATACTTCAATAATGACTAAACAAAATTTCAATAATGATTTCCTTTTTCGTAGATTTGATGATCGTTTTGGTAGTTTGGTGATTACATTATTCAGTCCGTTTTGGTTGGTTAATAAAACTGGCCTAATGTTAAGTTATAAGACCGATAACGAATCGGTAGATGTATTATACCATCCATCTGAATATACTGGACCGATCTTATACGCATTCCGTGGTAAAAATTTGTTTGAAAAGAAAAGTTGCGCCATCCGCGTGGAAGGTGGAGATTGGAGTAAACAAATACCTTTACATGTGGCTGGTTCCACCGGCTCAGTGACCTGCAAATATAAAGGTTTTCCATTTCAGGTGTGTCTTACCTATGGTTTATTTTTCAAGAATTATCGCTTACTAATGTTTTCGAAAATTATTAGATCGGTGTTCACAACTCTTTAACGAAGAACTCATTGACCAAGCACATAACATTCATACCGTTCTATACGATAACAAACAAATGCAGTTTCGTCATAGAAGTGCAGGAATATTCCCGTCCAGGTGATCCCTGGAAAAAGGTAAGTATTTTTAAAAAATCATCATCGGAGATTATCAAATTTTTGATTTTGGTCTATATAGCTTCCCGTAAATCAATGCACTCCGTGGTGGCCTAAAAATATTTCAAATCTTATGCTGATAGCCAAAGTGGGAGCCGATCGCACAACCCCTTTTAAATATTCTGAACCATTTCAAACTTTATTGCAGTTGGTTGATAATCGGGTAAGAAGCAAAAAGAAACATATATAAACTGTCTTTAAATTATATAAATCTTAATTTATGATGATTATAGTATGGTGGAATTAATGTGGACATTCATGTCACTGAAGGTGGTAGTTACATCAACTTCTTCGAGTATCGACACGGAGATGCTCCAGGCTTGTTAATCAATCACACTTCAAAACCCATTAAATATCAGGAAAAGAAGTTCGGTTCGGAACGTACTCTTCATCCCGAACATGAAGTTCTTTTCACTTGGGGAGATTCGGCTGGAGAGAAGTTGATTGTCTTTGGTGAGAATAAAGTAGAATACGATTTTCGTAAAGATGGTATGGGCCACTTAAAGTTAGTCTTCTGTTAATATCGGCCAAGAATACAAATTGCTTAAAGGAATTTCTTATTATAGATTACAAGACGATATAGCCGCGTTTTGGACATCATTTTTGGATGGTGAACAGCGCATTTTATTGTTTACGGAAAGAGAAGAAATTGCTTTCCGTTCAGAAACTACAGCACTTTTACAGACGATCACGCAATCGGTAGAAATCAAAATTCATGGCATAGCTCTATCACTGATAAACAACGATGCGAACGTCGACATCTTATACTTAGGCATAACGAGTTCAGGTATGTAAAGACTATAACAAATTCTTTCGAATTTTTGGATATTACTTTTCTGTTTTTTTTTACGACATCCAAAAATTACTGACTAAATAAATCATAGTCAAGCTTCTTAAACTATTGTACATTATTACGGTACGCGCCTCTAAAGAATAAGTAAGAGAATCTATCCTAAAACATATATACATTAGTAACTTTTCTACAAATAACACATGTTGAAGGCAATTTTTATACTCTACACTACTACTGGTGGATATTTTAAGTTTGTGCGGGCAACTGGAACACTCAGACTGACTTGAGATAGACCCACCTTTTATTATACTGAATCCGATCATGTATTCTTGTGTACAATTAATACGTCACAAATTGGTAGATATTTTAATGAAATTTGATACACTGATGTTTTCGGAGTCGGATAATTTTTCCGACCACTTGGTAAGTCGTTATAAAAAAGGTTTTGTAATTTTTAGAATTTCGGAACACAATGCGCTTAGATGTGAAAACTTTAATGTGAACATTTTCCGAACTCCTTGGGGTTCTAATGAAAAATATGGCTTTATATATCAAAAAAGTCTAATTGTAAATATTTTATGATGAAAACTTGTCCTTAGTAAATCAGTGGTGATGAATTTAGTTCGTACGGATCTATATTTCAGACCGCATCATATATAAAAGAGGAGTTCTTACGAGGGCAAAGCCTTTTATGGCGACAAAGCCTAATGAATGTTATGACGAGACCAGATAGAAAATAATAAAATCTTTGACAAGTAAATTAAGTTTTTCAAGTTTAGGCCACGCTGACGTTTAAGTAACCTTCAATATATGAGCTTTCATAAATATCTTACAATTCCACAAAAAAAGTGATTAAGAAAGTTATATTCGGCCGGGGCCGAATCTCGCATATCCACCACTATGTTTTTCGCATTCTACTCTCCAGGTTCTTTTATCTGACACCCATATCGCTGGTATTATTAAGAAAAAATTAATCGCGGTGTCTATCGTATTCATTTCAAAAACAACCCATTTTTAGGCAGATAATATATCTTCATTTAAGGAGGGGACAAAATGGTGGTAAACATTCAGTCTTGTGTCCCTTATGAGAAATAACCATAAAATCTCAAAAAAATGAAATAAAATGAATTTAGTAACTTTTTTTGGGCATAGCGGATGTTTTCCATTTCTACACGTAAGGAGCACAGTGCTTCGTAAAGTGTATGTGGAAATTTTCAGCTTTCTATTATAATTTCCGAATAACGAGCAAAAATCGAAAAAACTCTTGTTAAAAGAAAGGGAATTGCGTTCAGTTTACGCTATACTGCACGCTTCCGTTATGACCCATTTGGCTCATTTTCAGTAATAACCTGCGTACGGAAACTTCCAATGTTTCTATCAAATTTGAAGTCAATATATTCATTTTTGCGACCAGGAGAGTGTCAACAACACACATCACATAGATACACAGATGGACAGACATGACTAAATCAACCCAGAATTTCACGCTGATCAAGAATACATATGCTTTATAGGGTCTCTGAAGGTACTTTTTGGATGTTTGCATATATTATGAAAAAAAAAAATAAAACAAAATTAGTATGCCCCCATCTTACAGTGGTGGGTATAATATCTTGTCCGACTGTAGCGGTCTCACTTATTTGCACTGAATTTTTTTCGCCTATATTGTAAGCACTATCCGTTTGCCATAATATATTCAAATATCTCGTCCGCTACATGTTTTGACCTAGATACCTCTTCAAATTTCAGATAATTTATAGACAATAAACTTTATAAAATGCGCGAGTTTTATCTAATTTTTATTATTCTCGATTTTCATATACATAGACATTGACCTGTTTTCACTACGTGGTCTCTGAACTAGTTTCAGTTTCTTTAAAAAAAAAAAAAAGTTATGACCGTTTTGCGGACTACGGATTACAGGTTACAACTTATTTATATTGGGCTGCTTTTTCTTCTCTAGGTATAATTTGGGAAGCAAAGAAAGAGAAAAAATGGCACTATAAAGCACTGAACATGCATGATAATGCCATAGTGGAAGCTCGTTATCAGCAATATTTGGTGGATAAGGCTGTCATTAATGCTATAGAGGCCCCTTATATGTTGGACGATAAGCAAACGGTAAATGAAATGTTATAAATAAAAAAAATATAATGATTCCCCTGTTTAACGTAAACATTTTACTTAAACGTAGATAAATTTCGATGAGATGATCTTACGGAAAAACAATTCCAATCGCTTCCTCAGGCGCATAGCTCTTCCAGGCATTTGGCTTATACTGAACGCGTCACCCTATCAAGTGCAGTTACACCTAAAAGTCAATCGCATCCAGTTAGATAATCAAGTAGCAGACTGTGTATTTCCGGTAATTTTGGCACCAATACCACCACCGAAAACTTTGGCCAAAACAGTATCTTTCAAGCCGTTCATCGAAGCCAGCGTTATTCAGAAGAAAATGGCTAACACCAGTGTTAAACAGTTCGTGTATCTGTGTGCGCTGATACAAGAATTTCATGTGAAAGTGGATTTAATATTTGTAATGGCGTTGGTACAGATGTTTGCCGCACCGCATGATGATGATGCAGAAGCCAAATTCTTTAAAATAGATGTCGAGAGCATAGAGAAGCCATTAAGTAGTTTGGTGTTAGTTCAATCGCAACATGAGACAAAAAATTTTTACGATAATTTACATTTGGGTCCATTAAAAATCCATATAAGCTTTTCGTTAGCCGGCCTGGAACCTTCGGCGTTACCAACTGTCCTATCGAAATTTATTCAGGGTGTTGGAGTCACATTAACAGATATCAGTGATGTTGTTTTACGTTTAGCTTATTTTGATCGGATTGGCTTATATTACACGCAAAGTCAGCTCGTACGTGATATTGTTAGACATTATGTTGGACAGACGGTAAAACAAATTTATGTCTTGGTATTGGGCTTAGATGTATTGGGCAATCCTTACGGTTTGGTAGTGGGATTTAAAAAAGGCGTTGAAGATCTATTCTACGAACCATTCCAGGTAAGCGAGGACACTTATATAATTTTTAAACCGGCTCTTAACGAAAATATTTATTTAAGGGAGCTGTGGAAGGTCCTGGCGAATTCATTGAAGGTATGGCTATAGGTATGAAATCATTATTCACTCATACAGTAGGAGGCGCTGCCGGTGCGTTATCGAAGTAAGTTTCTTCTTTCTATAGTTGTGCTTAATATCGTGGCCAATAAACATTGACAGTTTAGCTACGTACAAATTTTACATATTGTCCGTGCAAATCATTTTTAAATGCATAGAAATGCAATTGAATTACTTTGACCATTTTCGGCATCGTTCGGTTTTCTTGAGTTCATTATCCCAGCATTAAGCATTTAATACTTTATTTGTTCTTAACAGAATTACAGGAGCAATGGGAAAGGGCTTAGCTGTACTCACCTTCGACGACGAGTACCAACGAAAGCGACGCCAAGTTATGGTTTCGAAGCCGAAAACTTTCCACGAAGGCATGGCCCGTAGCGGGAAAGGTTTAGTTATGGTAATAAAAATTACATTTATTCGAATCGCAACAACTTTAACGAAATCCGTATCTATTGCGTGTAGGGTTTCGTGGAAGGTGTAACGGGCGTAGTTACCAAGCCAGTAGCTGGAGCTCGTGAGCAAGGTGTGGGAGGCTTTTTCAAAGGTGTGGGTAAAGGAGCTATTGGTTTGGTTACTCGACCTGCATCCGGCGTTGTTGATTTTACCTATGGCACCTTTGATTCGGTCAAAAGATGCACTGAAATACAAGGGGAAAGTAAACGTATGCGACCACCACGTTACTTCTACGATGATAAGGTGGTGAGACCGTATAACCGAGACGACGCTAAGGGAGCACAGTTGTTGAGGTACGTTTTTTAGATGAAAATTGTTAAATAGGAATAGAGATTACTAGCAGAATCATTTCAAATATTTCCTTTGCCATTACGGGATCACTTAGGATTTGATTTTCATTTCCGGCTTCCCCGGAAAATTTTTGGCGAAATTTCGTATTTTGTCATGCCAAACGTTTTATTCGCGTAATTTTTTCCTGAGAAAAGTCATTTGAAACGATTTTGATGTATAAATCTATCGCGTCACAAAATCCATAGAAAATATTGAATATTAAGAAAGATTTTTATTTTTTAATTTTTTTTTTTCATATTACACACAGGGAAGTTGAAAAAGGTCGTTACCTTAAAACTGACATATTCATGGCGTCGGAAGAAGTGGTTCCTGGACGTGAATTTCTATTAATAACGAATCATCGCCTGCTCTACATTACCCGTAATGATGTATTTGGCACATGGCCGGTAAATGCATATGAAAATTATATCAAATTATAACGTAACACAAATGATAAATCCTTTTCTCATTAGGTACAATGGACTTGCCTAATTTCTGATATTGTCAGCATGGCACCTACAGAAGGCGGGATTGAATTTACATTCAGAAAAGATAGTAAAAAGAAGACCTTTAGTTCATATTCCAGTAAGGATTATACAGTAAAAGCAATAACAATAATAAGACAACCAAAACGTGAAAAAATGCTTTACACGATAGAAGCGCAACGTGCCCTTCGAACACTGGAATGAATTCGTATTGAAGCTAAAAAACGACACAAGGAATTAGATACGCACATAATATCGAACTCTACCAAAAATACTTTGTTATAATACTTTCTATTCCGCCTACGCCACACTATTAAACACTATTCTCTAGCTTTCTCCTAAATTATAGATGTTTTTTTTTTCCCACCTCCAAACAAAAACAACATAAATTACACGAAAAAAAACGAAATTAAATTATGAAATGTTATGTTTTTAGTTATCTTTTTTCATTTAAATTTTGTACATGTGTTTCAAAGTAAAGAAAGTATTCTGTTAAGTTATTCTTTTTCTTATTTATATAGAAATTTGGGTAGTTGTTTTTAAAATTCAGAGTAACAGGACAAGAAAAAAAAATCTTTCCTTAATATTTTCGTCCAAAACAGTAAACGAAGTAAAAATAGGTAATAAGACCAGAAGTGAATAATAGTATGGGAAAAGACACCAAGAACGTGATCTCGAACTTCAAAATAATTTGTTAAATTGTATTTTTTGCTTTATATTGAATGAAAAAATAATAATATACACAAATTGAAAAAGGAATTTTAGATTAAAATATTTTAAATAACTGTAAAATAATTATTAATACGGTAAGAACAGATTGAAGCACTCAAAGGGAGTTCAAAAAAGTACGATCGTTTATGTGGGTTTATATTAAGCGGCTATATACCACAAATCCCAAACGCATTTAAGATTTTTTTCCTAATTAGTTTCTTTTATTTCCTGCCCCACAAGTTTAAGCGGACGATTATAAAACCAGAATATCTTGACACCTTCTATTAATCAGAATCATTTTCACTCTTCTAGCCATGTGTATGCAACAAATCCAAATAAAAAAAATAATTTCCATCTCCAACAATTTACATTCTAATCAATGTTCACATTAAAGTACATTTACAAAATAGTGAAACCTTGACCATTTTCTTTTCCTTCTCTTAAATATTAGTAAATAAAAAAATTTACTTTTTTGACAGCGTTATTATTATAAATCATCATGTTGTTTTCTGTTGTAGGGCATTCAATGGCCCGCTTTACCTGATTATAGTGTTCTTACTTCTATTGCTATTACCGCTGTTAATATAGGCGAGTTATTTTTCATAAAAAATAAAAGGATAACGAATTGCTTGTACGTGTTCGTTTACTATTTATATAAAAACTCCCTTTAGCAGAAGAAACGATAAGGTAACATTGAATATATAAACTTAAAATAACAAATCAATTGTAAAATTTTGAACAGACGAAAAGTTTTGAAACCAAAAACCGATCCCAGACATTTTCAGCCATTGATAAAACCTGCTTTAGAGCTGCTTCTTGGTATTACTACAAACAGAAAGGCGAGTTAGTATACCGCAATATTCCATACAAAATCAAATATTTCAAATTCAAACATACTTATATGTTCGGGATGTTTGCTTCAATATCATATTTTAATCTATTTATTTACTTTGTGTACAATATATGCTCAAGCTGATCAAATTCAAAATCTCGGGGTATTCCACAATGCCCATTGAGTGGCTTTTTTTAATACCTCTGTGTTTTCAAACAATCAGAAAAGGAACAAAAAACGGAGCTACAAATATCTTTGGAAACGATAACGAATAGAACAGCTGATTACTATATTAATAATCAAAACCAGTGGCGGGTGGAGATTATATATTAGATAATTCGAGTTAATTTTACTTATCTTTAACGACATACAAATATACAAGAAGTCAAACTTGTACAATGCAAAAGTGAAAACACAAAAAATAATAATTAAAATAAGGTTTCAGTGACTTCTTTGTTACTTATTTATTCACGTCTTATCTTTACCTACGAGTTTGATATCAACCCGTCGTCATTCAAAAAAATCGATGTAAAAGAAGAAGAATCAATTTGTTTACATGTTTCTTGTTCGCAGAAGAAGAAGACTTTACATATGCTTGTGAAAGGCTCAATTTTACACAGCCTTTTATTATTTTTGAACGTGATTTCAAAGCAATTTAGTTAATCTCAACATCCAAAAAAAGGGAAGGCAATTTTCGTAAAAAGATGTCCGTTGAAAACACTGTGAAATTGTTATGGGACTGTGCTGCTGCTTTAGAACCTAAAACACACGCACACAAACTATTAAAATCCGATTACATGTAAGTGCTGGCAAAAATTTGAAATATTTAACTATGTTTGTGCATCTACACATTTTGTCTGTCGTATTTTATAGTAATAATTGTCGAACTATCGCGAACACAAAACTGCAAATGCCAAAGGAGAAATTCGGGACAAGTCAAATGTGTTCACATTGTGGTTGTTTCTGGCATGAAAGCGAATTTAAATTAAAACCACATAGTCAACAAGTGCCTGTTAGGGCTAAAGCATTGAAACTAATAGCCAAATTAGAAGAAACTAACCAGGAACATTACAAGAATGTATTGACAGGGAAGCAAAGACGACGTGCGAAATGGTTAAAAAAACGCATAACAAACTATATGAAAGTCAAATGTGAGCTGTGCCAGCATAAAACATTAATAAAAATGGAGAAACCGCAAAAGAAGAAACGGCTTAATAAAAATGCAAACTTGCCTATAGAAGAAGAGGAAACGGTCAGTGACGTACACTTGAAGAGTATAAAGAAAAAGAAGAATAAGGCAAATAAAAACGCTGGTCTTAATAAACCAAAGCAGCATTTTGACCAAGAAAAACATCTGCCAGTAAAAACTCCAACAGTCTTAATACCAAGCAAGCCAAGTGTGGAGGCAACAAAGCAAATAAATAAAACCAAATTTGTTTCGAAACAACCGACAGTGAAATCAAAATCGAACAATGCCCGAATAACTCAATCTCAATCTCCTGCTACCAAAGTGAATAGTAGTAAAAAGCATAAATCAAAACAATCTTCAAAAATTTCAACACCACCTGTTGCCGTGCAATCAAAAACACAGCGAAAAAATTCTTTATTACAATTAGCTGCTCTTTTAAAGCAACAAACAACGTCTAATAGGACAGAAACTGCAAAATCAACACAACAACGCTTAGAAGCACTATTAAAATAAGGTAAGTTGAACCAAATGAATGCGGTTTTAAGTAATAATGCATTTATGAATGACTCATTTACATTCGCACACATTCTCATACATCACATAGCCTGAATAACTAACCAGATATGTTGTTAACTTATATGTGTAAAGGTAAAACCGCATCTAGACACGTCACTTCAAGTAGCTTTTTATTAAAGAGCCGATCGATTCAAGTTTCATATCGATGTATAGAGTGAATCGTAAGATGAATGAAAACATACATTTAGAAACATGGCTTTTGCAAACTTGTTAGTTATTTGAGGAACTGATGACTACGTCCGAGCTTCAGGTTCGGAATCGAGCCAATTTCGATTTTAATTATTATGATTCTTTGAAAATTGCACAAGCGCGGCTTTTTCCATTTGGTTCAATAATTTTTTTATGAAAGATATCAAAGAAATTTGTAAATTTTTAGCATCTTCGGAGCACAACAAGAACTATGTGCAGTTCAAATTCGTTAATTATGACTGTATTGAATAATATGTGAATATAATTTTTTTTTTGAATGACAGCGTGCAACAAAAATTTTAAAACCTTTCATATCTCCCGAACTAGCTAGCTCAACAATCACACGAACGTCCGTTTCTACAAACTCCGATCCTCTTCAAGTAGCGCTTAATAGTAGCCCTAAACATAATAAAGTCAGTAGTGCGATAATTACACAGGCAGAGAGGATCTACAGGCATTAGTCGTTACAAAATGGTTTACATGTTTCTTTTATAACTTCTTTCATGTTGCTCTTTATAAATGTGATTGTGTCGACTTTAATGACGCAACTCTGTGGGAAGACCGTTGCTTGTTTCAAATTTTGCTGTTGTACTCGCGCTTTGAACAGGGACTATGATTAATTTATGGAAATTTCAAAAGAATTAGACGCGAGAAAAATTTCACTTTACCTCGGCTTTCAATAATGTCCTTTCAATCAATAATTTAAAGTGGTCGCACGATAAATTTTTGAAGCTTTCGCTATGTGCACGTCAGGTCCGAGTTTCGACGTTTAAGTCTTGTTTGCTCTTCCTGTTTCAATTGTCCTAATCTCAAAATTTACGGCTTCTGAAAGAATTCAATCAAACAAGAAAGTTGTGGTAACCTTTTTATATCCTACATCACTTGTTAACAGTGGTTAGACTAAGTAGCAGCTAATATGGCGCAAAACAAGGAAATATCCTGAAAAATAAGCTCACAGGCAAAGTGCTAAACAAAATACATGTGAATGCAGATACTCATCCAGTTACAATTATTTTTAAAATGAGTCTATGTGATATTGAACTTGAAGGGGGAGTACTTCGGATGGAACTAGCTTTTGTTAAACTGAACTATTCAAAGTCGCTTTCTGGATTGATTCAAGCTTGTCTGTCCGTCCGTCTGTCTTTGAGATATTTTGACGAAATTTGGGATACCAACTTATTTTGGTCGAAGGCCGAATGCTATCGAAAATGATTCCGACCGAATCACTGTTTCCACCATTTCCGTTGAAAGGCCTCATTCTGAGAAGGCGCTTTATGAATAAGTGTAACAAATGAAGCGGTCCAGAGCAGGAGTCGGCAAGCTATGAACGCAGTCACCGAGTGACTCATTTGTTAATTTCAAGTGACCCACTTTAGTTCCGGAAATAAAGTATAATACATAAAAATAAATTATAAAACATGAACATGAAACAACCATTTTCAAAATAAGAAAACGACCAACTATAAGCAAACTTGACGAAATTGACGTCACTAGTTCCACATAAGCCAGGACCCATTAATATCAAAGTTAATTGAACTATGTTTTGTAATTATTTTCTTAATAAACTTTATTTTTATACCTACACCCCTTGTGCTATAGGGTATATTATAGTAGTGCGGTTGAACGTAACCCACCGAAGGGCTTAAGATAGACCCACTTTTTACTGTACCTAACGATTCAGAATCATAGCCTGAATTGAACTAAGCCTGTCTGTTCGTCTGATGTCTGTCCATGTAAATCTGTGTTCAAGCTATAGGTCGCAATTTTTGAGATATTTCGGTACATTGATGTGTTTTGAAGGACGAACGCAGTAGGTAGCATTTGGGCATTCTAAATTGGTGTGAAAACTTTGGACCGGTTGTGGCAATTTGTGAATCCCTTCATATAAAGAAAATTAAAGTTTATATGACAAAAAGTTGTCATTTTGAATACTTCATAACAGTAATTTAACATAAAAAAATTAATCCTTTGTAGACCAGAAAAGTCTAAGTTTTGTTTAATACGTGGTGACGAAAATTGAGCCATAACATTATAGTAATTTCATACAAAAATGATCTCTACAAAATTTGGACTTATATTACATTAGGTTGCGTTTTGGGCCCGCTCTTCAAAAGTTGGCCTTTATTTAGAAACAATATATAATTTTCGCCTTCTGTAAAAAAATTAGAATAGTGTTAGAAAACGTGGTGTAGAGTACTTAGTGGTGGGCGTTGCCTGACTATAATCTTTTTACTTATTTTATTTACTTAAACACTGTTTTAATACGAAAATATCTCCGACTCAAATATCTCTTTAATACTCGCATTTTGATTGATTTTGACCTGCGGCCAAGAAGGTTGCCGACCCCTGGTGCAAAGTATTCAACGTTGGGCTGTTTTTGTGATTGTTTTCAATATTTATTATAGGGAAAATTCAAAGCCTGTAAGCAGTGCATTGAAATCAAAAAATAATATATCGAAGTTCATAACGATTATATAGTTAGGCTACGCAATTTGGGAACAATCTAAGTATTGTTTTTGTGAACAACATATAACTGCAATTCAAATGTTTAAAATGTAATCAAAATATATCTGATAGTTTTTGAGCCTTTTATTTCTAGTTGCTGGATGTACTACGCAAAACGCGAACAAAATTATGAGTCCGGAAAGTCATATACAATCGTCATGACAAATTCAAAAATTCGATGTAGAAATTTGAAAGTTTTCACATATGTTTTTAAGTAATGTTAAGAGATTATTTTAAAAAACGAAAAAGAGAAACAGACGCGATGCCTCAACCAAAAAAATCCAAAATATTGTCAATCAGTTACGTCACATTACTCTTACAATTGATAATTTAAAAATTTTTAAAAATATGTTTCCCGGAATAGCTTAGTTAGTTGCCAAGTGGGGTGGATCTGAACGATTAGCTAATGAACTCGGAATCAATTATGAAATTTCCTATTTCCCTATCTAATCTTCGTTTCAGATAAAATGACATTTTTTCACTTGTTTCAGGATGAAAACAGAAAATTCGTGTTGTGTTGAACTCATTTCATATTAAACGTTGCTTTATATATCTTATCATTGTGAGCGTCCGCAACACATTTGTGTCATATTAACCTAATTACGACGGTTCTACTTACTTACTAGACTTGAGCAGTGTTGCAAAGCATCCAATAATTTAGTTTAAGTTGCATTAAAAGGAAGAGGCAATGTCTGCAAGATAAGCGATTAGTACGCGTTGTCTTGTAGTTGCCTTGACTTCTTCGTTCATTGTCAGGATACTTGCCGAGGTCTACTTTTACTTCTTACTTTGAGTAGGGAAGACTTGTATACCTTTGCGTTATTTTATAAAGCCAATAAATGTTAATCAAATTTTGTATCTATGTCTGGTGTAATTACAAAGTTTTCAATTTAATTCCGATTTTTTGGAATTTAGCCGTTCTAAGTATGTCCTTAAGTCATGTCAATGAGCTACACTAATCCATCAGGAATAAATGAGGAACGTATATATATATCTATGCAAAAGTAGTTCTATTTATTCCTATATTCATAAATTTATATCCTATATATATATATCCTATATATATATACGTATATATATATAGTAGTTCTATTTATTATATATATATATATACATATTAAAGGCCTTATACAGGTATACCTTTGCTCCAAATGCTCCAAATTTGGCTTTTTGCCTTTTATTGAGATTTTGTCGAGGTATTAAGTGTAGGTCCCCTCGACCACACTGTTGAACTTGAGGAAAAGAAATAATAATAAGACTTTAAAGGGCAGTGCTACACAAAAATGTTGTTTACTTTTTACCCTTGGTTTTGGGAAACGGCTCATTTCTATGCGTGACCTTGTACTCCACGGTTAGGATAATTTTGAAGAGGAGCAGTAGGAGGAGATTTTGTAGGTATCACGCAGCAAGTGAAACCTTACTAAAAAAAAAAAAACCAAAGTTGTTAGACTTTTCAAGTCTTCAAAACGATATATAAAAATTTCGAATTTTGAAATAGACTTGCCCTTGATAATAAGAAGATATATAAAATATTGTAGAAAATATCATTGTTTTCATTTCTTCAAATGTGTTAAGAAAGAAAAAACTTTTAAATTTTACGAAAATTTTAATTTAAAACATTTTTTCTTTCATTGTATTGTATTTACGTCAATCGATCATAATAAGTTGATTGTCTTTAAATTTTTCTGTCAGCGAAATTATCTGCTTTGACCAAAAAAAGGCAAAGCCCTGTTAAACATGTTTGGGCTTTTTTTGCTTTTTTTTTTTTTAATTTATTTTTCTTTTTCGATTTCTGCTTTATTTTCTCAGAAGCCTACAAAACATGTTTTCTTTTAATATTATTGTTGCTGCTGCTGCTGTTGTTGTTGTTAGTATTATTATATTGCATATAAATCTATCTGTCTTCTTATTCGGTATGCAGGACAAAGTCAAGGCTGAATTATTTTTTTTTTTTAATTTTTTTGCTCGTCTTCCTTTTAGGCCTTATCTAATGTTCATATATTATTTTGTTTCGTTTTATTGCTTTCGAATAGTTTTATTGTTGCTTTACAGCTTTTATGCTTTTTGTCCAGCAAACGTTTCTTCGTTACGTTTGTCTTCGATCTCATTTTACGTTCCATTGATTTGCAATTAAAAGTCAGCTGCCTTAGATGATGGTTTGATTCAGTTATACTCTTCACACATATATATTCACAAATACAGCGTACAATACAACAACAACAACAACAACAATGTATGGCAATA